TAAAATGAATGTATTGCATTCTATTTCCTCCTTTAATTTTGTTAGTATTTGTTTTACATATGTAGGTGCTCCTGTGTTTGGTGCATAGATATTTATAATGGTTGTATCCTCTTGTTGGACTGATCATTATCATTACGTAATGTCCTTCTTTGTCTCTTGTTACTTTCTTTGTTTTGAATTCTATTTTGTCTTATAGAAGTACTCTCCCTATTGTTTACATGAAATATCTCTTTACATCCCTTCACTGTTGGTCTCTGTTTCTCTTTGGGTTTGAAGTGAGTCTCTTGTAGGCAGCATATAGACAGGTCTTGCATTTTTATCCATTCAGTGACTCTATGTCTTTTGATTGGTGCATTCAGTCCATTTACATTTAGGGTGATTATCAATAGATATGTACTTATTGCAATTGCAGGCTTTGGATTCATGCTTACCAAAGGTTCCAAGGGCAGCTTGCTTACTATCTAGCAGTCTTCCTTAATTCACTTATTGCACTATTATAAACAGAGTCTGATTATTCTTTTTCTCTCCCTTCTTTTTCTTCCTCCTCCACTCTTTATATGTTAGGTGTCATATTCTCTACTCTTTGGTTATGCCTTGACTGACTAGCTGATTTAATTTTGCATTTGGTTGGTATTTTGTTGGTCTACTTCCTTTTTTGTGCTTTTATTTTCTCTGGTGACAGCTATTTAGTCTTAGGCGTACTTCCATCTAGGGCAGTCCCTTTAAAATACACTGTAGAGATGGTTTGTGAGAGGTAAATTACCTTAAGTTTTGCTTATCTGGGAATTGTTTAATCCCATCTTCAAATTTAAATGATAATCTTGCCAGGTAGAATATTCTTGGTTCTAAGACCTTCTGTTTCATTGCATTGAATATATCATGCCATTCTCTTATGGCCTGTAAGGTTCCTGCTGAGAAGTCTGATGACACCTGATTGGTTTTCCTTTGTAGGTGATCTTTTTTCTCTCTCTGGCAGCTTTTAATACTCTGTCCTTGTCCTTGATTTTTGCCCTTTTAATTATTATATGTCTTGGTGTTGTCCTTCTTGGGTCCTTTGTGCTGGGAGATCTGTGGACCTCTGTGGCCTGAAAGACTATTTCCTTCCCCAGATTGGGGAATTTTTCAGCAGTTGCTTCTTCAAAGACATTTCCCATCTCTTTTTATGTCTTCACCTTATTCTGGTACCCCTATAATGTGAATATTGTTCCTTTTGGATTTGTCACACTGTTCTCTTAATATTCCTTCATTCCTAGAAATCCTTTTTTCTCTCTCTGCTTCAGCTTCTCTGTATTCCTGCTCTCTAATTTCTATTCCATTTACAGTCTCCTCTACCTCACCTAATCTGCTTTTAAATCCCTCCATTGTTTGTTTCCTTTCAGTCATCTCCCTCCTGAATTCATTCATTAGCTCTTGAATATTTCTCTGTAGCTCCATCAGCATGCTTATGACTTTTATTTTGAATTCTTTTTCAGGCAGATACTTAGGTCATTTCCATATATTTTTTAACCACTTAGGTTGTTTTCCCTATATATATTGTTGTTTGGGTTTTTTTTTTTTATGGTTTATATTGCTTTGTCAATCTTCTCTGTTTGTTCATACATTGTTTTCCTAATTTTATTTAGTGTGTGTCTGTGTATGGTATAACACTTTAACAAAGGAATGATAAAAACCATATGATCATCTCAATAGATGATAAAAAAAAGCATTTGACAAAATTCAACACCCATTAATGACAAAAACTCTCAAGAAAGTGTGTATAGAGGGGATATAACTCAACATAATAAAGGCCATCTATAACAAACACACAGCTAACATCATACTCAATGGTGAAAAGCTAAAAGCTTTTCAACTTAGATTAGAAACAAGACAGGATGCCCATGCTCACTACTTTATTCAGTTTAGTAATGGAGGTCCTAGCCACAACAATAAGACAAGGCAAAGAAATAAAATGCATCCAAATTGGTAAGTAGTAAAATTGTCACTATTTGCAGATGACATGATGGTATATATAGAAAATCCTGCAGACTCCACAAAAAAAAATCAGAATGAATAAACTAACTCACTAAATTTGCAAAATACAAAATAAATATAGAGAAATCAGTTGCATGCCTATATCAAGCTAGCAGGAGAAATTAAAACAATAGTCAATACATGGAAATGACGTAAGTGTCCATCAACGGGTGAGTGATTAAAGAATATATATATTTATCTCACAATGGAATATTATTCAGCTATAAAAAATGAGGAATCCCAACAATTTGCAACAATATGGATGGACATTGAAGGCATTGAGCAAATAAGTCAGACAAAGACAAATACTGTATGATCTCACATGTGGAATCTAAAACAAATAAACTCATAGATAAAGATTCAGACATGTGGTTATCAGAGGTAGAAGGAGTGGGGAAAGGTAATTAGAGGAAGTTGGTCAAAAGGTACAAATTTCCTGTTATAACATAAGTACTAGCAATGTATTGTACAACATGATGAACATACTTAATACTGTTGTTTGATGTATAGGAAAGTTAAGAGAATAATCTTAAAAGTTCTCATCACAAGAGAAAAAATTATTTTATTCTTTTTCTTTTCATGTATCCATATGATATGACTGATACTAGCTGAACCTATTATGATAATTGTTTGACAATATACGTAAATGAAACCATAAAGCTTTGTGCCTTTACATTATAGCTATGTATGCAATTACTTCTTAATAAAACTAGAAAAAAATGATATCACATCATGTATAGCAGGTCACTAAAGAAATTATAAAAGCATGAAGTTATATACTTTTTCTTAAATTTTTAAAATCCACTCTTCAATCTACATGAAATTTGTGTGTATGTGTCTGTGTGTCTTCATAGATAAAGTAAGGATTCAATTTATTCCACTTTACTTCCACTGGTTTATCATTACAAGACTGCCAGAGTAGGTTTCAAACTGAGATTGTCAAATTCACACAATCCAGTTGACTTATCCAGTGCCAATTTTACTTTGTTTCAAGAAAGAATATATAATAAAGAGTATAGCAGTAGGTTCAATAAAAAATTGATGAAAACTTCACTCTCAGACATCACTTCTGGGGTTTCAACAACCCTATGGTGTATTTTTGTTCATGGAAATGAGTTGATGCAAATATAGTGATATTCATGCAAGACAACTATAGGCTTAGGGATCTTCAGCTTAAATATTTTATCACCTAGAATCTGGATTGTATTTTGTGCTCTCAACTTTACTTACAACTTTCCTTTTTCTTTAGATTTAATTAATTTTTTAGCCCCAGGAGTAATAATTCTCAACTGTTCTTTATTTATAATACATTAATGCTATAATTTCCCTATTAATCACAGCCTAAGTATCATCTCACAAATTTTGATATGTATTATTTTTTATTATGGTTTAGTTCAAATTATATTTTAATTTTTATTGTGATTTCTTCTTTAATCCATTTAGAAGTGTTGCCTAACCTCAAAACTTTTGAGAATTTTCAGTTATTTACTGTTAGCAATATCTTGTGGTCATTCCTGGTGAGCATACTTAAAAGGTTTTCAATCTTTTGAAATTTGTTTAGACATTTTATGGTCTATTTTGATGAGCATTCCATGTATTCTTGGGATGATAAATATGTATCTTACAGCAGTTGAAGGTTCTATTCTATAAATATAAAAAGGCTCAATTTGGTTAATAATGTTTACATCTTCTATATCCTTATTTGTGTTTTTGCTTGTCTATCAGACACTGGGAGAAGTGTTATTTAAATTCCAGCTATGGTGGTGGATTTGTTCACTTCTCCTTTTACTTCTGTATTATTGTTCTAATGAAACAAATATGCTTTCTTTTCTTTGTCTGCTTTTAAGATTTTGCCTTTGTCTTTGGTTTTCAGCAAAGCCTCAGTATAGTTTTTCATTGTATTTACTTTTTGGGAGGTGTCTGAGCTTTTGAATATGATACTTTATTTCTTTCATCATTTTGGAACTTTTCACCCATTATTTTTCAAATATTCCTTCTGTCCATTTTCTCTACTTTTGTAACTCTATCTAGATATATTTCATTTGACTCTGCCCCATACATTTCTTACAATCTGTTTTGTTTGTTGCTGTTTTCTTCACTTTTTTCTTCCTGTATTCAGTTTGGTTGTTTCCTTCTTCAAGTGTAATAAGTTTGTGTTATGCTGTATCCATTTAGCTCTTAAGACAATCCAATGTATCCTTATTTCAGGTATTCATTTTATGATTTTATATAACATATGACTATTTTGTAGTATCAGTTCCTTTGAATATCTTTGTCTTTTCACTTATTTTACCTTTTTCCTATAGTTCCTTTAACATAGTTAAAATGGCTATTTTTAAATACTTTGACACCAATTCCAACATCTGAATCTGAGTGTCTGCTTCTACTAGACATTTATTTTCACTTCATTTTTTGCCATATTTTTCCTGCTTCTTTGTGCATTTTTAATTTTTACCCCAAACCATACATTTTATATGATGTAAATGTAACGGTAATTTTTATATTATTTAGCCCACTGGCAAGAACATTTGCTCTTTCTTGATCCAATTAGAAATTGAGCTCAGATGGACCCGAGTTACACTTGGAGTTTAAGTCAATCTTCTGGTTTTAAAAGTCTCAAGATAGAGACCTTTCTTTGAGCTTTTTATCAAGAACTTTGGTGGTCTCTTTTTCCTCCATCCAAAAGATGATAGATTTATCTTGTATTTTTGTTTTGACCTCTGCTCTTACCTGAGTCACTTACCTGAATCTTACTGAGTCACTTTCAAATATGGTAAATGCCTTGATGAGGATACCAGCTGTGTATCTGAAGCAGGCCCCTTTTCTTAGTAGAACCTTTCTGATAAGACTGTAGGGAAATTCAGTCCACCCTTAAGAAACTAATTAGGCTTCAGCAAAGTGTCCTGATTCTGTTAAGTTTCAGAATTTTTCATGTTAGACACACCACCAAAAGTTTGGTTCTTTCCCTCATTAACATCCCTCTATTTCAGACAAATACTCATCAATCTATACCCTGAGCTGGAAATCCCAACCAGGTAAGAAATGGCCAGAGACATGCTTACAGGCTCTTCCCACTTTGTTTTAATTCATTTCCTCCTACAATTTCCAATTTAAACAGACACACGCACACACACACACACACACGCACACACACACCCATGTGTTGTTTTCCTGTTTGTAGTAGGAGTTTGTTCTATTCCATCCTATTCTATCCTATTTGGAATGTTCCCATATAAGTTTGCATCATCTTACCATGCTTTATTTTTCTAAATATAATTTATCTACTGTTAAGTATATGTACATCTCTTTAATTAGTTATTTTTACAACTAACTTCCCTACTAGAGAGGAAACAGTATGAGAGCAGGTACTTTGTCTCTTTTTTTCACTGTTTGGTCTTCAGAACTTTTAGAACAGTGCCCAATAAATATCTTCCAAATTAATGAATGAATAGTAGAATGCGGTGCAGCAGTTAAGAATAATATGGCATAGTAAGTATAAGCAAATATTTACTATAATATTTAATAAATGTGTTAATATAATATAAATATAATATTTAATACATTTTATAATAGTCAATTATCAAATTAAATAATATGTAAACAAGTATTTACAATAGTAAAAAAATAATATGGCGTATTAAAACTATTTCTCTGGACAGTTATTCTTACAAATTTGTGTAGACTCAATTTCTGTAATGTAAAATATATTTTATATACATATTAAGACACACATTTGGAAGGACCTATAGCTGTATAGGTATTTTTAAAGGAAAAACAACCTAAACAAACTGTATATTTAAATACTTTAAATGCTTATTCTGTTTTTATTATTTGTAGATTGTAAAGGACCTCCTCCAAGAAAACAAACAGAAATTCTGTCTGGTTCCTGGCCTGAACAAACATATCCAGAGGGCACTCTGGCTACATATAAATGCCGCCCTGGGTATAGAACTCTTGGAACTATTACAATGGCATGCAAGAATGGAGAATGGGTGGCTCTTCATCCATCGAGGATATGTCGGAGTAAGTAATTGATACACTTATGAAATTTATAAATGTTTTGAGTTGTAAAAATACTGAATGATATTATAGCTATAGTGACTGAATTATATCACTATTATTACTTAAATACAGAACAATGTACCATCATTATTCTTAGAAAGAGGTTGTTATCTTCCAAAATTAAAAAGAAAGAATCAGATAGGTTCAACTATAAAAAATACCCTTGGCATTTTTCATTTTTCCATATCTTTAATTCCATCCTTCAATTCTGTCAAGTATCTTTGTGCTTGAACTCCTACATAAAATGTTTCCCGGTGTTTTATATTAATATTATATATTTTTTATTTTAGAGAGACCCTGTGGACATCCTGGAGATACTCCCTTTGGTTCTTTCCATCTTGCAGTAGGAGATGAGTTTGAATATGGTGCAAAGGTTGTTTATACATGTGATGAGGGGTATGTATGAAAATACCAAAAGAGGTTTATAATTGAACAATTTATAAATGAGATAGTAAATGGGAACTGTAGTAATTTATATTTTTAAGGTTACTTTACTTTTCTATGAGCAACACAAAAGTAACCTGAAAAATTACACTATAATAAGAATGATTATATTTGGATACCACAGTATGTCTTCAATGTTGAAAAAATTTTAATTATTACTCTGATAGAGCATAGTTATAGGACTCCAAGTCCTCATTACATTCTATTATGTGCAGGGTATTATGGCAGTTCAGTGTGTCAGGTACAGTAAGAATGGTAACAAAATCAGATGACATGTTAATTATCTTGATAACATCTTATAAAATTTAGTACAAGCAAGTCTTCTACACTGAAATAATAATAAGTACTATTCTTTGTTTCCATGGTCTGCAAATTGTTCTTATCACATAAAGCCAAAATGCCACTATGTTCATAATCATTGACTCTGTTCTCTGACCACCTACCTAGTTTTCATGGCTAATCTTTATACTGTATTACCTCCTAAGTGTTCTTTCTTTCCTGATGTTCCCAGCCAGGTAAAAATAATTTTGAAAAAAAGTCATACATGGGAAAATCAGTATCATGACAATTTTATACTACATAAATACAAATAAGATCAAGAAATTAAAAATAGACTCACATTGTTCTCCCCATTATTTTTTGATTTGGGGCAAGAAAACATACTTTAAAGCTTAGGTACTGTAGTAAGCTTGCATTACAAGACTTCACCACTCAGTAACTCTTGGAATTTTTAAGTTATCTTTTCACTCCCATTTCATCACCAATAGAAGCAGAAACATATCAGATGTATAATAGGTTTGGAGGGAGAAATAAATAAGGCATACAATGAAGCCCTTACACACATTCTTGGGATAATGTAGATACCTCATACATATTAGTTCTTATAAATTTAGTCTCTCTTGCTATTACCTGAGGGAAATCTTTCATAGTCACTTCTACCCCAAACTTCAGTTATGAGTACAGTATTACACATGACCAAATAGATTAAGGCCGTTTGGCCCTGAGCTTTTCAATTCATTCCACTCTTACCTCTGAAATACCCTTTCAATCCAAGCTAGTCTTAACCTGGCAAAAGGGATCAAAACTCATAGACTCCTTCCCACTAGGGTCCCTAAATCTCAGTAATAAAATGAATTTATAATTTGGCAAAGAAATTAACAATATAATTACTTCTTCCTGGCTCTGTTTAACTCATCTTTGCCACCTCCATTTTGTATAAATTATAGGTAAACTCGGATTTCGACTCTATAAGAATAACTGTCTCTAAAATGTGATTCAGTTTGGGCCTCTAAGAGGATTAGATATTTTGTCAGTGAAATGAGTCCTCAGAACCTGCAATGTCAGCAAGCAATAGTATATTATGTTATTTTAAAATATCACTGATGGATTATTTTACCTAACAGAGGTTGTAATTTTTTTGGCCCAGTTGTGGAATATGATGGTAAACTGAGTTTTCTACATCCATGGTTTCTTCCAGTCAACCCACCTCCTGTGACCTCTTGTCTCCAACCACCTTTTCTTTGTTAAATACCTATTTAGCTGAATAATAGATACAAAATATTTACTGTGGGTGTCTAGTTTCATTATTCTGCAAATAGGTAGTTTTAAAGAGGCCCTCTGCAAAACTTTTTTCTGGTAATTTACCTGGCCGGGGTTAGAGAAACATGAGCCTCTACTTTTCCCCAACCACCAACATTTAGACAATTCATCTGTTTTCTCCTCATCCCTTATGAATATGGGCCCTAGGAAGATTTGAACGAATTTTGCAGAATTACTGAAAGAGCTTTGGGGGAATGGATGGATCTCTGGTATCAATGGAAAGTGTTAATCAGGAAACCAGCTTTTTATGTTAGAGGAGGGTACCAGTCGTAAAAATAGAGAAGAATCTTTAATAACCAATTATTTTGTTCCTTCATATGACAGAGGCGTAGCGTAAATATTTGACTTCAAGTTCGGCAACTCTCATGAACTCTATTGAATTTTTTATTGCTTTAGCTAATTAGGAACAAATAAAAAACAAAGACAAAGGATTTTTTGGAGAGGGAAAGGTTTTTTTTTAACTGTATAATGGATAAACAATCCTTATTTACAGATGAAAGGAACATTTGTTTATGTAGAATTATTTAGAAGTTTATGAAAGCCTTTTATTAAAATTATCTCCCTGTGGTTATCAAATTCCTTCCATTATTTGTTTTTTCAGAAAAAGCTTTTTGCCTTCAGCTCTCCACTGTAATACTAAGGAAACTACCTTGCTCTAAAGTCTCTGGTAATGACTGTACCTTCTTCATGTGCCCTAGGGAACTTTCTTCCAAGAAGAGCATTTTAGATTTTAAGGACAGGATTGATGGTTTACTTTAATTAGGTAAAGTTGACATTGAATGGGTTGTATAAGCAGACATTACTCAATGACCACACTCTGGAATGAATCTCTGGGATGAAGATGGGGAGATAGAAACAAATGCTGACATTAAGCCCCATACTAATAAATGCTGACTAGCACTATCCTTAATACGTAAACAGTGTCTGGAAAATATCACAATCATGGAGGGTTAGAGTATGAAATGATGTAGGAGGAGGGATAACATATTATATTTTTAGCTTTTGTTTTTGGTGATAGTTCATGGAGATTATAACATTGTTAAGTGTAACTAATTTACTGACTCAGTGAAAAAATAAAAGTAATATTATACATGAGTATAAAATAAAAGTAGTATTATATATATAATGTATATAATAAGTGTGCTATGAGCCAATGATTCTGGTTTTTCCAAGACCAGAGGGTTTGAGACCCTTTCTTAGAAAGAGAGTGGAAGAGAAGGAAGGTAGTAAAGAGGGGAGGAAGCAAAGAAGTAAAGAAAGAAAAAGGAAAGAAGAAAGAAGGGGGATAAATGCAGAATGGTGTCAACCTTAAAATTGCATATAAATGCACAAGAGCTCACCATTCTGCTATTTTTGGCTTTCAGGTATCAGATGCTCGGTGAGATTAATTCCCGTGAATGTGAAGCAGATGGATGGACCAATGATATTCCTCTATGTGAAGGTAAATGTAAAATTGATTTATAAGTGTATTAAATACTTAAAATATATAAGGTTTTTTGAAATGCCTTACATTAAAATATCCTTTAAGTCTATAGTTAAATATTTCTTACTCAAGTTACTTCTGTAGTTTCTAATATAGTATAGAATGGATATCTGCACTTTTTATTACTACATTTTTTGTGTTTCAATAACCAAATATGGATATAGTGCATGTGATCTAATAATCAAAATATTAGAGATTAGAAAATCTAAGACTTGTTTTTCTTTCCTCTTGGATTCTAGCTACTAGAAATAACACAAGTGTCAGTATTTAAGTCAAGATCAGAATTTCATCTTTCTTAATGAAGAGGCACTCACCCAATAACCACCCATATGCAGCTGAATGGAGACTATGATTCAGACTTCTCTACTGTACTATGTGACAAGGAAGGTTTCCTTGTGGTCTTGGTTGTAGCTCCAGGGGGAAGGGTGTTCCCAGCCCAGGGCAAGACCCCCTATAAACCAGTAAAACCAAAATAAGTAAAGGGTAGATAGGGAGAAAGGCTTTTATTCATTACAGTCACTAGCCAGGCTCAGCACCTTCTGTCTCTTCCAGCTGTGGCTCATGCTCTGCAAGTCCTTTCTTCCCAGTCCCCACTAGCAAAAGCCCACTCCATGCTCCATTTCCCTCTAGCCACAGTGTGCTCTCTACTTCCTGCCCACTCCTTCTTGAATGGACTCCATGGGTGGGTCCTTGGTGACTGGAAATTGCCAGGCAAATTACATACCAAGAAGAGAGGGGAGGGGAGAATGGCAGTTTTCTCTCCACCCCTGGCCCCAGGTCAATGGGAGGATCTGAAATGATAAGCACCTATTGATATGTAAATGAACTAAGACTAGGTGTGAGATTTTGTAAATTCTGCCATTTACCCCACATGGTCCTACTGAAATAGAAGAGAGCTCTGCTATTTCTTACTGGCCCATAAAGCAAAGTGAGGATGAGAAAAAGTAGATCCTATTTTCAAACTTTGAGCTAACAAGCCCAATCTGTGGTCATCCTGGAAATAAAGATATCAATCAGGATTGTTTTTCCTACTTCCATGAAGAGGGAAGAGAGAAAAAGAAAAGAAAAGAAAAAGAAAAAGAAAGAAAGAGAGAGAGAGGAAGGAAGGAAGGAAGGAAGGAAGGACAGAAGGAAGAAGACAAAGGTTGTAAGCAGACAGTGCTTGTCCCCACAATGTATATTTCTCATGATGTTTTCAAATTCTACTAGAAAAAGTTATATTTATTCTTTCAGTTGTTAAGTGTTTACCAGTGACAGAACCAGAGAATGGTAGAGTTATCAGTGGTGCATTGGAAACAGACCAGGAACATGTTTTTGGACAAGTGGTACAGTTTGATTGCAATTCAGGCTTCATGCTTAATGGACCTAAACAAATACATTGCTCAGCAAATGGAATTTGGAGTGGAGAAAAACCAGAATGTGTGGGTAAGACACATTTATTATTCCTTTGATTGTTTGAATGATTTTAATTTTTCTCATGAAAATAGGCATTTCAAAACATTATGCATCTAACCTGCATTTACTGAGCACTTATTATTTCCCAGTAATTGATATAAATTCTTTACATGCATTATCTCATTTTTCCTTCAGAATGACTATATGACTTGCATACTGTTTTCACCTCTATTTTATAATTGATGAAATGGTAATGTGAAGTTAAATGACTATTTATTTCAAAAGGATTAGTTATTCCTCAAACCAATTAAAATTAGCATCATAATTTTAATCAGTTTTTTAACTTCCTTCAAAAATGAATATTAAGAACAACAGATAAATTACACACCAAGCATTCAAGTTAAAACAGAACTTTTGGTCGTTTGCCTGATTTACCTAACAGAAACAAAAATGTTTGTCTTTATTTATCCTAGACATAGTCCTTTAATATATAACACATATTTTGGAATTTAATCCCTTATATCTAGAAATTTCCTGCAAAATTCCAGACATTTCAAATGGATATTCTATATCTCAGAAGAAAACTTACAAGGAAAATGAACGATTTCAATATAAATGTAACAAGGGTTTTGAACACAGTGAAAGAGGAGATGCTGTATGCACTAAATTTGGATGGGCTCCAGGTCCTTCATGTAAAGGTAATGTTATATTCTTTTCTGTCTTTTGCTGTAGATTTTATCAGTTATATAAATCATATACTCCTTATAGTTAAGCAGCTTATTTTTTTCTCACTACTGAGTATTAATATTATAAGAATAAAATAGAATAAAGATAACATATCTTAAAATTTTATGTGAGCCAGGCCCATTTTGAGATTAATTGGTATGATTCTCTCACTCTGAAGATGAAAACAAGTCTATCTTAGAAAACTTGAATACCTCATTGAGAAGTTGGTTGTAGGTCAACAAGCAGCTCTAGAGCAGAGCCAGGATTATACTTGGTTTCCTAACTCCCAGGTATATACACTTGCCAAACAATTAGATTGCTCTTCTAAGGTCTACCATTTATCTTTAAAAAGTCAATTATATTAATACCAGACAAGGAAACTCAATTGACAATGGAATTAATGGGGAAAAACTGGAGAGTTCATTAACCACAGGCCTAATATGAATTAAAAGTGATGTTGGCATTTCCCAAACCCAATTATTTCAGGCTTCATAGTGGAAAGATAGTGTACACAGTCAAGAGTTCATCTCAACTGCTCTTTGCCCACCAAAAATTATGTCTGGAATATGGTGTTATATTCACCCTACTTCATTTAAAAAGTGATGGTATCAAATGATCATAGCCTAGAAGAGAGAAGATAGTTAAGCAGTTTAAGAAATCATAAGAATAGCAAGAGGTACAACTTAAGCAGGGTTATAGCTGTGCTGAGATATTTGCAAACATTTATGAAAAGGAGTGAGTTCACTTCTGATGAAGTCTGCTGCAGTGAATGAAATAGATAAGGGTGCCATCATGCATGACACCAGAGCTCAAACACTATTCTCAAAGGGTGAATTTTGCAGTAATTGCCATGCTGTGGGGAAGAAGAAGTATTGGCCTCAAAAGCCCTCTGAATTTTAATAAATTATGTGATCATAATTACATGTTTAACCTTATTGAATGATCTTCTTTTACAAAAACTAGAATTTTTTTGTTGATTTTATTCTTTAAAAAAATGCTTTTGTTGAGTCCACAAGTACCTCCTTTGGAAATACAGTCTCTTACACAATTGAGTGGCCTCCACTTTCAGGAATATTTTAAATTTAATTTTAAATTTTTTTAATTTTTCAGGAATTGTTAAGAAAATATTTTAGAAAGAAATTGAGTGGCACACACAATTGAGTGGCCTCCACTTTCAGGAATATTTTAATTTAATTTTAAATTTTTTTAATTTTTCAGGAATTGTTAAGAAAATATTTTAGAAAGAAACACAAGAAAATAACACATTAGCTCTGTGTTAGGCATATGGCATGTGGAGCCCATCAATTTGTCTTCATGTCATCTGTGTTTCCTAAACAAAGAGAGTTGGTGTACAACTCCTCTGGCATTAATTTCTGCTGTATCTTTACATCCAGGACCTCTCTTAAATAACGATAGTTAATTTATCCATTCAATCATCAAAAAATTCCCTATATAAGCTATATATAATAGTTTATATAGCTTATGTTATATCAGGTCCCTTGTCCTATATTGAGGATAAACCTTAGAATAAATCATTATCCCAGATTTCAGTGATTCAAAGATTTTGGAAATTCAGTTTTACATGGACATGAGTAACAACTGCTTCTTAGGTGTCATCTAATTATCTATCTTTGTCAATTAGTTAATTACTTAAAACTCATTTGACACATTTTTTTAACAGTAGGAAATCTGCTTGTATTATTACATTAGTATTATTACACTTCCTAGGCTTCTCTTGAAACTTGATTCATTTAAATACACACACATAGCCCCAAAGACTCCACATTTACAAAACATATTCTTTTTAGAATTTCTTTTCCATTTTTTTGGTGTTAGGTCATAAGTTAAAAATTCAAGACTATATGCTTTATTTAGGGAGAGAGAAGCCCAGGATTGTGATGCACTGGGATTGGGTATTCTCTTTCATAGGACAGTTTGGTAAAGATCAGTATCAATAAAATTAGATAAGCATGCATTCTTTCACAACATGCTTCATTTTATTGAAAAGTGTTTTACATTAACTAGATGTAGAGAAGTCCGTAATTAAAAGAACTCCACCTGCCAACCTGAGCTAATATATCATTTACTTGCTTATAATGATGAATTCCAAATCTATGTATCTTGTTTTCTCCAAATCTATAATAAATTAGGAACTAAATAAGAAAAGAAAATTTTTTTTAATCATCTAAGATAAAATTTTCTTCTTGTATATGTCAGAGGTTTTATTTGAGGGTGATTTGTCAAAACTTTGGTCCCTATCTCCATAAGGGAGAGCCTCTGACAACAGGTCGTTTATAGGGATAACTAAAACTACCAAAACTTGCCAAGTAAAAGCCTTTGATCAAAATCCATTTATTCCTAGTACAGACTGGATTTTCTACTGACTCACAACATAAAGTACTAGCACTCAACTATTATTTTTGTTTCAAATGCTTAATGGTTATTTCTAACAGTAGAAAAAATGTGGCCTACATTTGAACAGTCTCAAATATTACTTTGAATAGAGGAACCTAACCTGAAAATGCTTTAATAACATCAATTATTTTAATGGGGATTATGAAAGTAGGGAATTAAAATCCATCAAGTAATTTATGTCCATTGTTTGAAATCACCAGAAGTTCATATTGTCTTAATTAATTTAACACAATTCTCCCAGTATTTTGTTGATAATCTTAGTAAAGTTATAGGAATTTTTATATTGTATAGCTTTTGATTTCAACTATTGGTAATAAGTTCAACTGTGCTATAAAGTAAAAGCAAAGATATGTAAACTGGACTTCAATGGGTATATAAAAATATGATAGATATAGAAGAAGGAAGTGAGAAAGAAAAAAGTCAATGAACACATTTAAGACAAGATTATTGTCAATTAACATCAAGCACTGAAGGCCTATTTCACTTAAAACTTATTTTTAGGTGATCACATATTATTTATAATCTTTGTAATATCATTGCTAATATAAGTATATTATGTTAGCAATAAAAACATATTAAAGCTTATTCTGGAAGAATGAAGTATAAATGTAAGACCAATTAAGACACTATTACAATGCCTCTAGGAGCTGTGTGTACATAGTTGAAGCATGGTATGGAGAGGAGAAAAAAATATAAGCAATAATTATCACTTTATAGGGCACAGTGTCTTACATACAGTGATAGGGATGGAGGAATATGGGATCAGTTTCCAGGCTTCTGTCATGGGGTTCTCCAGTCAAAAACTAAAATGTTGAATACTTGAGGGAAAGCATATATTGGGAGAAAGATGGCAATTTAATTTGATATTTAATGAGTTGGATATGTCTTTGAATTATATACAAGGACCTGTTCACTTTGAAGCTGAAATTGGATATATAGATATGGATCTAACTAAAGAAGTTAGAATAATGAAGGTAGGTTTTTATTACGGAAATGTCTTGGGTCACAGAAAATGAGTAGAGGAAAACAGCATAATCAAGGACAAATATATAGAACCAACTGTAAAGCAAAGATATTAATTCATACTATATATTTTTTACATTGTGATAAGAATCAAGATCTAGAAAAAAGATGGCAGAGTAGGAAGGCAAGGCAGAACCTTCCTCCCCCACACACCAAAGAAGCAAATATATCTAAACCTGAAAACTGCAGAACAGATCACCTATAACTAGCAAAGAAGAGAAGACCACACAGAGAAAGGTAAAGTGGCAAAGCGAGATTGAGTGGACACAAGCCTCTCCCCAACCCCAGCCCACACACAGGAGGAAAAGGAATGGAGCAGGGAGAAGACAGGTGCTTAAGAGCTCTGCACATCTGGCCCTGGAGATCTCTGGGAACAGGAGCACATTGCACTGGTTTCTAGTGATAAGTGGGGCTGGACACCAGGGACAGTTGGAATGCTCTGGGAGGCTGAGACTCCAGCTTCTTAAGGAGGACAGAAATGCTCCACAGGTCCTGCTGAGACCTAAAAAGAGACAGCAGTTTGAAATATTTGACAGTAGCAGGAGGGGTAGCAAAGGGCAAAGGTTGAATGCTCTCTCCACAGGAGAAACGGAAGATGGATAATTGTTTCACAGTTCTCCCTTATCCCAACAGGAGCCCCAGGTCCTCCATTCCAACTGCTGGTAGTTTAGGTGCTACCCTGCAATCCAGCAACATCAGATTATGCTACCTGGAAGACATAGGGAGGCTTTCCTAGATTTATAGGCCCTGTCTCAGGTCATTTAGAGAGGTGTCTGCAGGAGCCAGTTCCCAGTGCTCCTTCATCCTCATGAGAAGCCACTCCAGCCTCTGCATGACACATCACACCATGCACCTGACCCAGAACTGTGTGACAAGTCTCCCTTCCCTATTAACACAGCAGCTGTGTCATTGCTGCAGAGCAGGCAGAAGGTGGCCCTGCCCACAGTGATATCAGCAGAAGCCACTGCTCTGATCACAAAGAGACAGATGAGGCAAACTGCTGGTCAGAGTGCACTGAGAGCCAGTACCAGCAGACAAACAGAAAGGAGTCCCTGCCTATTGTCCACTGACAACAACTGGGCCTCCACCACAAAAAGAACCAGGCACTGGAAAATAAACAGTAGTGAGCTTCTGGGAATCACAGGATGTCTTCTTCATAAAGCAATTACTTTCTAGACCAGGAAACATAGCAGATCCAACCCAAAGGAAGAAATACAGAAATGCTGACAAAAAGTGGTGGCAAAGGAATATGTTCCAAAAAAAACTACAGGATGACACTAGAAAGAGGGATGAATGAAATGGAGATCACCAATCTTCTTGGTAAATATTTCAAAGTAGCAGTCATTAATATGCTCACTAATCTGCAGAAAAGTATTGAAGATATCAAGGAGGACTTCAACAAAGAGATATAAGGGCTGTAAAAGATCCATTTAGAACTGAAGAATACAGTAACAGGGTACAAATACACAACTGAGGGAATGAATAATAGACTGCTGCAAGTAGAGGAAACAATGAGATGAAAATTAAAGAATAG